AAAACTTAATTCTACTGAACCACTAGAAAAAACACTAGCCAGTCGAAACCACATTTTTTAGTGGAAAATCCACTACGTTGGATACATTAGGCAACACTGAGTATCAGCACGCGCTGAAGCCGAACATGCCGCATCATATTACGTCACCAGATTGCCTCCTTCAATATTGGGATACCTACCGCATTTTATAAAATAAGGCGCATACGGTGCGGGTGAAATGTGCGAAGTTCATATGATTTCATACAAAGAATTCCAAAATGCGGTGCGTACGGCGCGTACGTTGCTGACAAATGTACGTTCGCCTAAAGGGGCCATCAGATATAATCGTTGTCAACCAATACGACACATCAGAATATTATATTAAATAGATACAAATTAGACTACGTTGTATGGTGTAAGACCTTTGCCTTCCTTAATTAGTGACTTGTTTGGCGAATGATAAATAAATAATAATTATAAATAAGCTGAGAACAAACTATCGGACTGGTGCTAGTGGCTGCTGCTGACAGAATTCCGTTTCAATATTCAAATTCGGGATTTCGAACGCAGCAAGCCCATATAAAATCTATGACCCATCACACACGTACGGTAGCTTTCCGTTCAAAATTTTGCGGGCAAATCGGGATTCCGTATGTCTTTGACCGGCCTTAATCTGTGGAGTTGACGCTTGACGCAAATTGACGAGGCTCAGAAGGGCTAGAACCGAGGGTCGTAAAGCCAGTTAAAAAACGCAAATTGACGCATTCAACAAACACAATAAATCAGAATCAAAAATACTTAAGTAATTGTCTAAGAAAATCTTGAGGAAGCGCGGGAATCTTGAAACGTGATAGGCGCCTTTTTTTAAACTAAATTTTTATTTATTTAGTTAAAAGGCACTAAACTTTTATTGTTTTATTGTTACTGGGTTTCCTCATCATGGGGAAACGTAGAAAAAAAAACGTTGCCGGGAGAAGAAGAAGTGTGAAGAAACGACTGAGGAGGAAGAAATTGATACCAGTACTGAGGAAGATCCTGATAAAGAGCAGCGCAAATATAAGCCGTACTTTGTATCTGACTACAACAGGAGGTACCCTGAGGACTCTATTCTCGTTGATTTTGTTGTATTTGTCGAATCAAATGATGAAAGAAGGCCAATCGGCACGCGGGACATGATGTCTCTGTCCACACATATGAAGAGGTTCAATAAAGACATTAAATATTTGCAATCTATGAATAAATACAAAATAGGCGTTCATTTTGAAAAGCCCGCTCTAGCGAATGCACTTTTAAACAATATTACTTTTATTAATGAATACAAAATGAAGGCGTCTATACCAGCTGTAGAGACAGAAATAACAGGAGTCATAACCAATGTTCCCACTAATCTTTCTAATTCAAGAATTTTTGTTATGTTAACTACTTACAGGAAGATAATATGTGTTAAAAATATAATATGTGGCCATCACATTCGCTTCTAATGTTTTGCCGGACCACGTCGATCTTCATAGTTGGCGGTTCGTGGTAAATCAGTATATTCCACCAGTGAAGCAGTGCTACAATTGTCTGAGGTATGGTCACTTAGCAAAATATTGTAAAAATTCTGTGAAATGCTCAATTTGTACTGAAAATCACAGCTACAAAGATTGCCAAGTCTCTTCAGATAAAGCGATATGCATAAATTGCAAAGGAAACCATCTAAGCATTTCTGGACAGCGTCCTGTTAAGAAACAAAAGATAAAAGAAAATCAGCCTAAATTACAAAAAAATTACAAAAAAATTTGGAGACCTTTTTAAAAAAAACGAATTCCCCGAATTAAACAAAAAAAATATCCCAAAGATGCTCTTATGTCACTGCTAAAGAATGATGACATTATTAATATAATTTTAAATACAGTCATTAAAGTATTAACTCTTAATAAATCAAATGAACAAACCACCATATCTTCTCATCTTATTAAAGATGTTCTCATAGATACAATGAAACCAAAATAGATATTTCATTATTTAACATTTAATATTTTATGGATCAGTTTAACATTTTACAATGGAATGCACAGAGTTTAATTAAAAAACGCTTTCAATTTACACAATTTTTATATAAGAACACCATAGATGTTGCTCTCATATGTGAAACTTGGCTTAAACCTAGGCACAATTTTAAAGTAAAAGGTTATAATATTATACGATTAGATTCAGGTAATGATCATAATGGAGTAGCAATACTTCTACATAACAAAATTGGATTTTGTGTTATCAATACATTCTCTGATGACTCATTACAAAATATAGCTGTACAAATACAATACAATGATAAATTATTAACTATAGTTAGTGTTTACTGTCCCCCTAATTCACCAATTAATTATAATAAATCCAAATTAGATAATTTAATCCAAAGTTTGCCACAGCCAGTCTTTATAGCTGGTGATTTCAACGCCCATCACACGTTATGGGGATATACTGAATTAGATTCACGAGGTAGGGACGTTCTTGCAAGTATATATGACAACAATCTTGTAATCTTGAATGATGGTCAGATACATCACTACAGTACTACTAGACTACAGTAGGATCTCATAGATGGAGGCAGAACGCATTAGACTTAAACACTTGTTTCATCTTCACTGGCACTGTCTTGTGAGTGGCAAGTATGTAGTGACGATTCTCTAGGCAGCTATTATTTTCCTGTAAAGACAAAAATTACGGTCAATAATCAAAATTTTCAAGAAACAGCTGTATCAAATAACATAAACTTAAAATTGGTAGATTGGTCAAAATATCCAAATTTAATAGATAATTTAATTAAAAATTATAGTTTTTTTTTTTTTATAAGATATGGGTGACAAACGAGCACACAGTCCACCTGATGGTAAGTGGTTGCTGCGGCCCATAGACATCTACATCTATCCTCGCTTGCGAATCAAAATGCAGATGCGTTGTCACCCGTGAGGACTAAGATGGAATGCCTCATTTCCAGTAAATTTCACTATAATCATTTTGATTATAGTAATCCTTTACAATGTTATACAGACTTAATAGAACTAATTAAACAAGCCATGCATGAATCCACACCGGCCAATCAGTCTTCTAATCGAAATGTTAACATCAACTAGCAATCTTTTAAAAGAATTTAAAAAAAAATTCTCTTCCTTGGTGGAATTTAAAATGCAAAGAGGCAGTAATAAATTGTAAAAATGCATATTTAGTATTTAAGAATGATCCCACGGAACGAAATTATATTAATTTTAAAAGACTACAAACTGTTAAAAAATTACTTTGAAGACTAAAAGACAGCTTAGCTGGAAAACTACGTGAAACTTTTGATAGATCTACTCCATTGACTAGAGTATGGAATTACATTAAAAAGTTTAACAAAACTTTTGTTCATAATAACACATCTGTCATAGATTCTAATTGGGCTAATGAATTTTTGAAAAAATATACTCCAGAAACAGATGAAACACCTCTAACCCCTCACTCCTCAAATGATAATCATTGTGATTATCTTATCAAACCTTTTACCTTGACCGAATTCAATTCAGCTGAAAAGACATTACTTGTGGTTTAGATTCTGTTACATATAAAGTTTTAAAAAATATGAATACTGCGTGTAGAGAACTAGTTTTGAAAATATATAATATGTTATGGTTTCATTCACTTATTCCTAACGATTGGAAAGAAGATTGTTTGATACCCATTTTAAAGCCTGGAAAAAAACCTCACATTGCAGAATCTTATAGACCTATAGCACTTACATCTTGTATGGGTAAAATATTTGAGCAACTTATAAAATCTAGATTATTATTTTATCTAGAAAAAAATTGTCTTTTACCACCAAATCAGTTTGGATTCAGACGCCGTAAGTCATCTAGAGAAAGTATTGCATTTCTACATTTAGACATCTTTAAGGCTATGGAAAATAAAGAAGTATTAATTAGTATATTCTTTGACATTGTTGGTGCATTTAATAACGTTAATCTTCATGTACTCGCCGCAGAGTTGAGGTCTTTGGTCATTCCTGAAAAAATTGTAAAATGGATATTTAACTTTTTACATGAAAGAAGAGTTTTTGCTAAAGTTAATAATAATAATACAATTATTGGTCCTAGGCTCAGTTATAAAGGTGTTTGTCAAGGAGGAATATTAATTCCTCTTATCTTTATTTTATACATATTTAAATTAAACAATATTTTAGGATCAGATGTTACTAATTTACAATATGCAGATGATTTGGTCATATATGCCTCAGGAACAAATGTCAAAAACTTGGTAACCACTTTAAATGAGGCTTTAAAGAAATTGCACATTTACTTTTCATACTTAAATTTAGATATTAGTACTGAGAAAAGTAAAGTCGTAATATTTAATAATATTCGTCCATTTAACACTAGAATAATTTATAATAATACATTTTTACCAATAGAAAGTTGTGCAAAATTCTTAGGTGTAATTTTTCAAATAATTTATCTTGGACCAAATACGTGAATTCTATAACAGACAGAGCTTCTAAGGCCTTTAATGTATTAAAAGCTTTTGCTAGTACTAACTGGGGAGCTGATCCAGAAATATTATTAATGTTATATAAGTCTTTGGTGAGGAGCCATTTTGAGTACGGCTTTCTTTGTTTTGCATCAAATAAAAAACTCAGAAAGCTTCTCGCGTGCCCTGCAAGATGTTCTTAGGAATACTTAGACATATTTAGCACTTTGCAATTTTATTCATTATACTGTAAAAGAAATATGAAATATGGTATCCCTGTTTTTGAAAATATTGGATTGACAAATCTACATGGATTGAAACTTACAAAGAGTATAATATAAAGAAGACTTGGCTTTAGCCTTTACGGGTTTTTGATTCTATATATTCAAAATAAAAAAGTTAAGGCTGTATGGCTTAGTTCCTTTGCCTGCTCTCTCGAGCGAATAATAAATACAACAACAACAACAAAAATAATTAATGTAAATGACAAATAATTATAATTTTAATAAAGGATTGGAAAAGAGAAATTGTACTCTATAATGGAATTACCGGCTACTCCGTCCAATGCATCTGATAGCAATGAATATCCTGGAGCAACTCCCGCATCATTTGAAATAGCACAAGACAATAATAAACGGCGCAGGTTTGTACTATGTTTTAAATTTTAATGGTTTTTTTGGCGTTATAATTAAATTATCAATATTTGTATAATAATAATACTTTATTTTCTAGTTCGTCAAGATCAATAAAACGAAGACGTTTTGATGATGAACTTGTAGAATACAGTTTGGGTTTACCAGGTGCCTCGCTTGGGAAGGGCGACAAGAGGGTACGCACCCAATCATATACAAGTCAAATGTCTGATTTCCCTGGAACGAGCAGTTCTCTGTTAGCTTCTGTTCAACCACATCAGGAGCGTAGAAGAGCATCTAGTAAAATATCTGGTGGCGGTAGTGTGGGTCGTAAATCCCGTCGCAAAGGCCAGTTAAGTCAATTATCAACAAAAGATTTAGGGCGTTGGAAACCTACAGATGATCTGGCACTAATATTAGGAGTCCAACAGGTAAATTTAGTTTTGAAATAGTATATATTGCTATTAAATTCTAAATGCGTAGTAAATATCTAACTCCTACTATACATGTACACTTTTATAAGAGTCACTTGGTCAGCAAAATTGTAGTTAATTGAATTTCACACAAAGGAGCGCATGTACGTGTTACTGTTGCCCATAAATCGCATTCAAAGACAGAATTGCGTTTTTGGTAAAAAAAGATTAATTTTTCAAGGTAAATTATAACTCAATTTATTATTTAACTATTACTAATTAACTTGCGTTGATAGTTTTTCCAGTATCTGCATATTATTTGATGTTCTATTCCGTAGTTACACATTATTTTATTATATTCACTAAACAAAAATGAGTATTTTGATTTTCAAACTAGGGGCGGGCAAGATGGAGTCGGGCAAAACGGATAGTACCTATTAATTTGTTTGTTGCAACTAAATGACTTTTCTTTTTTAATTTCAAATGGTGTATAACTAGCTATAAGAGAAAGAGTGATCGTGCAAATTTGTCTGAAGAAAGTCTGCGAAAAGCATTGCTTGCAGTGCAATTGCCTTCAATATCAGATGCTAGCAAAATATATGGCATTCCTTATGCAACTTTATACCAGCACTTGAAATCTGGCATAACTAGAAAGAATCTAGGGTCATTTGTATCTTACTTTATTCCTAAGGAAGAAAATGATTTAGTGCAATATGTACAGCAGAATGATTCAATTTTCTACAGCCCCAAACGAACCAGGACAAATCATTAATCAGTATGATGTGACCCAACTTGAGCAGAAAAGAAAGCATGATGTAGCCTCTGCAAGGAAGAAAGTGACTTTTGAGCAAGACACCACGCTTGAACCATCCAAGCTTAAGAGAAAAACCTAACTAAGAAAAGGGTCCAGAAGGAACCACAACAGGACTACTTCTGCACTATATGTAAAGAAAAATATAATATTTCACATCCACTGGAAGACTAGATCCAGTGCGATACATGCCGAGAGTGGACCCACAAAGTATATATTTTTATGACGATTGCTTTGACCAAAATTATGTGCCACCTAAGAAATTCGTTTTGCCTGCCCAGCCGGGCTATTCACAATCGTCTCGGAAAGCAAAATTGACTCGGATTCGATAACTTCTCGCACCGAAACCAATAAATGCTATTCACATTTAACGTTCGGATAAAGGTCACTTAGATACATCCCATAACTATTGTATCGTCATTTAGTTACATGCATTTACGAATTTTGTAGATATGTCTCTGAAGATGATGATATGTCTCGTTTCACAAAGCAGCATAATATATGCTGCTTTGTGATAGAAAACTTATAAAAACACACCTTTCACAAAAATTCAGCTTTACGATTAAGTGCAAATATTGAAGTAATTATATGAAAATATGTCTTATAGATCATCATTATCATCATTACAGCCCTTCACAAGTCCACTGCTGAACATAGGCCTCCCCCAAAGAATGCCACAAAGCACGGTCCTGAGCCACCTGCATCCATCGACTTCCTGCATATCTTACCAGGTCGTCACTTCATCTAGTGGGGGGACGCCCTACACTTCGCCTGCCGGTACGAGGCTGCCACTCGAGAACCTTTCTTTCCCATCGGTTGTCAGTTCTTCGAGCTATATGGCCGGCCCATTGCCACTTCAGCTTACTAATCCGTTGGGCTATATCGGTCACTCTGGTTCTACTGCGGATATCCTCATTTCTAAGTTTATCACGCAGAGAAATACCGAGCATAGCCCTCTCCATAGCTCGCTGAGCGACCTTGAGCTTCCTTATCCGGCCAGCAGTGAAGGACCACGTCTCAGTTCCATAGGTCATCACTGGCAACACGCATTGGTTGTACAGTCTCGTTTTCACGTTTTGAGGTATACCTGACTAGAAGATATGTCGTAATTTCCCGAACGCTGCCCAACCGAGTTGAATCCGTCGAATGACCTCTCGGTCGAAGTTGGACTTGCCTAGTCGGACTATTTGTCCTAGGTAAACATACTCGTCAACAACTTCGAGCTTAATGCTCCCAACAACTACCGGAATAGGTGTGACATGGACATTAAACATGATCTTTGTTTTGGCCATGTTCATCTTAAGACCTATCTGTAGGAAAACACTATTGAGATCATTGAGCATAGTGCTTAGGTCCTCCAGCGATTCTGCCATAAGGACTATATCGTCGGCAAATGGAAGGTGAGTGATGTACTCGCCATTGATGTTGATACCGTATCCTTTCCAGTCCAGAAGCTTGAAAACATCTTCCAATGCAGCGGTAAAGAGTTTTGGGGATATGACGTCACCCTGTCTTACACCTCTCTGCAATTGGATAGGTTTCGTACTCTGGTTCTGTACTCGGATAGCCATCGTAGCCCTACTGTACAAGTACTTCAACACTTCGATATACCGACAGTCAACTTGGCATCGCTGAAGAGACTGCAGCACCGCCCAAATTTCGACGGATTCAAAGGCTTTCTCATAGTCCACATACGCCAGACATAGTGGCAAATTGTACTCCTCGGACTTCTGTACAATTTGCCGAAGGGTATGTATGTGGTCTATGGTGCTAAAGTCTTTTCGGAAACCGACTTGTTCGGGAGGCTGGAAGTCGTCAAGTCTGCCCGCGAGACGATTCGTAATGACTCTCGAAAACAGCACGTAGACGCGGCTCAGAAGGGAAATCGGTCTGTAGTTCTTCAAGAGAGCGTTGTCGCCTTTCTTGAAGAACAAAACCACCGCACTTCTGCTCCACGCCTCCGGTGTAATGCCACCATGGAGGACGGAATTAAAGAGCTTCTGAAGGACTTCAAGTACCGGCTTTTCACCCGCTTTCAGAAGCTCCGCTGTAATTACATCCTCGCCTGGGGCCTTGCCGTTTTTAAGGTGCTGGAGAGCCATTCTAATCTCGCTTAGACTGACGATCGGGATATCATCGGAATAATGTCGGATAAGACTCGCTCTTGGATCGTTACTCACACTTGCGTGCGGCTCCAACGATGACGTGTACAGCTGCCCATAGAACCTCTCAATCTCACTCAAAATCTCAGGTGCCCCGGAAACGATGCTGCCACATTCGGTCTTCAGCTTTGACAGTTGGCTCTTTCTGGCAGACAGATCTCTGGCAAAGACTTTGGAGCCTTGGTTCCGCTCGATCGCTTCTTCAATACGAGCTGTATTGAAGAAGCGTAAGTCCCGCCGCATGCGTTTGGAGATCTGTCTGTTCAGTTGCCTGTATGCTGTCAAATCTGTTGAAGAATGTAGCTTCATCTCCCGTCTAACAGCCATGAGATTAAGAGTGTGATCGGAGAGTTTTTGTGTTCTTCTGCGGCGGGTCTTGCAGAACTTAGCTCCGACCGCATGGACAGTTTCCACGAGCTTGTCATTCAAATCGTCCACTTCATTGCAGTCTTCTAGGCACTGATAACGGTTTTGTAACTCGAGCTGAAAGGTTTCGGGACTTTGGATTAGAGCACGAGGGGGACGGAGCGTTGACTTCATTAGACGAGACCTCTCCAACTTAACGTTTAGGTTCAGTGTGCCTCTAACCATTTGGTGATCGCTGCCGGTTTTCACCCTCGCGATCACTGAAACATCACTGAACAGTTGTCGTCTGGTCGTCATAATGAAGTCAATCTCATTTTTTGTCGAACCGTCGGGGCTCGACCAGGTCCACTTCCTGTGGGGCCGCTTCTGGAAGAAAGAGTTCATCATAAAGAGTCCCTCTTTCTCCATGAAGTCGGCCAGCTGCTGGCCCCTTGGGTTCCGTTGCCCTATTCCAAATTTCCCCACTTTCAGCTCACCGTTCTTTCTTGTGCCTAGTTTTGCATTGAAGTCTCCCATTAACACCGTATATTGGGTTTTGGAGGAATGCATGGCTCTAGAGATATCCTCATACATTTCCTCCACCTCCTGATCGGGGTGTGCCGAGGTTGGTGCGTAAACCTGTATGACCTTCAGCGAATACCGTTTGGTGATTCTGAGTATAAGGTACGCAACCCTCGTCGACACACTCTCAATCTTTACAACGTTGTTAACGAGAGACTTGTGGACGATAAATCCGACACCTCCTTGGGACAGATGGTCGCCTTCCCGGTAATAGAGCAAGTTGATTCGGATTCGAGGATTACCGTGTCCTCCCCCTCTCTTCAGACTTCGGATAATCCTATAATATTCCAGCGTAACTTGTCTATCTCTTCTTCCAGCTCCACAATCTTCTCGTCAGTCTTCAGGGTGCGTGCGTTGTATGTTGCCAGGTCGAGTCGTCGTAGGTGGCAACCGAACCTCCACCGGAGATTCTTAGCACCCCCTGCCCCGCCGTTACCATGGTCGCCACCGTAGCCAGGAATAGCGGGGCCGCCGGGGACTGGGGGCCGTCTCTTCGTAACTTTCATCATGGGGGGTATATTGCCATAGTTGCCACGCTTGGCGAGCGGGTTGGCAACCGCAGTTTTTTATTGTATTTTTGCCGTTACAAGGAAGATGCTGCTGCCCATCTCCTGCCTGTTTCCCTTTATCGCATTTTACGACACCCACGGGAAGATATGGGGTAGTGGATATTCTTAACCGCCCCTACAGGGCAAGTCTTATAGATAATTGTAATTAATTTTTGTTACCTACCTTATAATTAAATCATTAATATTCGAAAAGTTTTCGCCAGCGTCAGAGCTTTAGTGAAGTTTCCGATGCAAACTGTCACAATTATCGAAAAGAAACGTCAAAGAACACGCCCCATAGAAAAAAACCCAGACCCGACAGAAACGAGACATATCTCAGTTTTTTTGTTATTTATTATATAGTTAAATTATATATTTTTTATATTCGATATCAATGGCTAACTCCAAAATATTGCATAATGTTTTTGTTCAGGCGTTACTCTAAAAAAATACAAAAGCCTATTTATCTACAAAATTCGTAAATGCATGTAACTAAATGACGATACAATAGTTATAGGATGTATCTAAGTGACCTTTATCCGAAGTTTAAATGTGAATAGCGTTTATTGGTTTCGGTGCGAGAAGTTATCGAATCCGAGTCGATTTCGCTTTCCGAGACGATTGTGAATAGCCTGGCTGGTTAGGCAAAACTGATAATAGCATAAATTAAAAAAAAAAAAGTGTTATTTACAGAATGTTTAATATTTCAGTTGATTTTTGTTTGAGTTTAAATCTTTAATAATTTTTTTTTCATAATAGCAAATGATTGATTAAAGTAGTTGATTTTCTATGCCTTTTTTTTTAATGTCAAACTTAACCTATTCTTATTGCCCGCCCGTCCCCTATATATATATTTAAAATTTAATATAAAATTTGGGTAATTTTTGAAAAATAACCCTGTATCTATATAAAAACAAGAATTACATCATGAAAGTAACCAGGATAATAACTATGACATTGGGACGTGGACAATGGAAGTTTTTTTTTTTGAGAATTAAAAAGTTTAAATTAAACGTGATAAAATCTGTAAAATTAATTTCATTTAAAATTTAATTTAGCTTGTGTGCGTGATTTATCTACCTAATTAATAATAATTATGTAAGCTATTAAAACATCGGCAAGTAGTCAACATCAAAGAAGTGCTACTTCTGTACATAGTACTATTATTTATTCTGCCCTTCAGCTTACTGATAACTGACCTATAGGACTGTGTCACTCTGCACACTTACTCCTGACAGATTTGAGTATTGAGTAAATCAAATTTGATTTGAGCTTGAAATAATTCATACACCTGTGCTCAAGACAAAATTAGCTTTAAGCAAATTCATTTAGATAACTAAGAAATCTCTCGACGTGCTTTTAAAGTGTTCAGTTCAAAGCAGCTGCGTGTCATTTTACAACGCTAGCTCATATGTGTTAGTGCCAAGCTGCGTGGTTATGGTTGCATGTTATGTTGATTACTTCATTGGTTTAGTGGTCGTAAAGGCAGTTGCTGATCATACATACATACATAATACTTAAACAGTCACGCCTGTCACCCAGTGGGGTAGGCAGAGACTACGGACTTCCATTTGGCGCGATCCTGACACACCTCTCTCGCCTCTTTTACATCCATATATCTACGCATACACGCTCGTCGGTTAAGGGTACTCCTAGTCTGGCCCATTTTTAATGTATCGCCGATTTGGTCGATAAACCTTCGTCTAGGGCGTCCCTTCCTTGCTGATCATGAGGTACTAAAATCAGTTATTGGGTTTTCCTGTCAAGAAATTCTCAGTACCAACTATAAGTCAGGAAGTTGGCGCTTTTTTACTCCCACATACACATAAAGCCATTGGTGCTGCGCCTGATCTTTCTCCAATCGTGTTGCATAACCGTCCCATCGGAATATGAGAGTACACTATAATCCTATCCTGTGCAGATGGCTAATCTCCGTTGAGACTGGCTGCCAAGATCGAAATTAGGTCTGGAGGACATTCATATGGTTGCAGCACGAATGGGATGGCTCGACAGGAGAAGGACCACGCTCTTACAGAATATCTTTTTTAAATTATTATTAAACTAGGCTCACTCTTGACTTCCATCTGCCCCCACGGCAGAGTGAGGTCTACTATGGAGCGCGTTTGCCCAGGAGAAGCCTGCGAATATGCACCTTGAAGAGTTTTTTTAAAATTAAAACAGCCAGTTCTTTAGCCGCAGTTTGTGCTTTCGACTCAATGTCCGCGCCGAAGTTGAGGTTATCATTCAACTATATGCCGCTAACCTCGAGATGATCAGCAACCTTTACAGATGTACCTCGGAAATTAGGAGTCAGATCAAACGGACTCCGTTTTGCCAAGAACAGACAGGCCTGCGTTTTATCGGCGTTGAAAGTGACCAGATTATCATCACCCCATTGGGAGTACCATCGTAAAATAGCAGCTTAATGTTGCTGTGTTTCGTATGGCGAGTGCAGAGAACCGGAGACTATTTTTACTTAGTTTCATTTAAATGTTTAGTGTTCGTGTAAATATAAATAATCATTACGGGTGTAGATGTCTATGGGCTACAGCATCCATATACAATATATCCAGCATACAATCAGGTGGAATGTGCGCTTCTATGCGCCCTTATTCTATTAAAAAAAGATACGTAGCAGTAGTACTCCTCATACTATAATCCATACAGCATGTAACTTAGGACATACATACTTTTTTGTAATTGTTTTAGACAAATGATTTGCGCATTGTACACCGTGGCGTTAAATTTTCTTGCCGCTTTACTGTTGGTGAGCTGCAGTCACGTTGGTATGCACTGCTTTATAATGCGGAAATATCAAGAGTAGCAATAGCAGCTATGCGGAACCTACATCCGGACCTAGTTGCGGCAGTTCAGCAACAGGCCTTATATTCTACAGCAGAAGAGGAGTTGCTTGGAACTCTACCTAGTGTAAGTAAAATTTTTAAATTATTATAACTTTTATTATTTTATAAAGCTGCACGTTGAAAAAAAAAGATATTGAAGGATCAACCTGTGTGTGTGTAACAACTTAAACCATAGTACTTTTTTTAATTTTGCAAAGCGTTTGAGTGATCCACACATAGGCCCATACTAATTTCGCGTCAATTAGTTTAATTTGTAGTTATCCAAATCTATACGGATTTCCCAAACAACAAAAGAATGTGGGTAAAAGCACTCCATTGTTAGCTCTTCCAAACTGGTAGTGAAAACTAAACCGAAACCATCCAAATGTGCTTAGGAATTTGTAGCTAAATACGAGGGCTGCACTAAAAGTATCGGGAATGGAATATTTCCACTGTTCCTGTCATATTAAAATCTTTTTAATTGAAAAGTCCTTGGTTTTAAAAATCGAATACCATTTATTTATTTAAAAAAAGTTTCTCGGTCGTGCCACAAGGTTTTATCAAACTTGTTTAGTCGTTGAGAAAATGGAATTGACTCGAGAAAATTCAAGAGCGATGATTTATTATGACTTTCGAAGTGGTTTAACACAAAAACAGTGTGTTGACCGGATGATTTCTGCATTTGGTGATGAAGCCCCATCCAAAACCACAATTTATCGCTGGTTTGCTGAATTTCAACGTGGACGTGTCAAGCTCAGTGATGATCCCCGTCAAGGTCGTCCAAAAACTGCAGTCACCCAAGAAAACGTTGATGCTGTGCGTAAGCTGATTGAGGAAGATCGACATGTGACATACCGCGAAATTCAGGCAACTTTAGACATTGGCATGAGTTAAATACAAATAATCTTGCATGAACAATTAGGTGTAAAAAAGTTGTTTTCCCGATGGGTACCGCATTCGCTCTGTGAAGAACAAAAAGCGGCTCGCGTTTCTTGGTGCGTCAGAACTCTCGAAAGATTCCACGCAGGATCCTCAAATGCTGTATACAACATCTTATCAGGTGACGAATCCTGGATATACGCGTACGAACCCGAAACAAAAAACCAGTCACGAGTTTGGGTGTTCGAAAATGAGTTAAAGCCAACAAAAATTGTTTGTTCACGGAGTGTTGCAAAAAGAATGGTGGCCACGTTTGTCTCCAAAACCGGCCATGTTACGACTATTCCTCTTGAGGGACAAAGAACGGTTAATGCAGAATGGTATGCTAGGATTTGTTTGCCACAGGTCGTTTCTGAACTCCGTAAAGAGAACTGCAACCGCCGCATCATTCTCCATCACGACAATTCGAGTTCTCACACCGCACGTAGCCCTATTGATTTCTATACTTTCCCTAAAATAAAGAATAAATTGCGTGGACAGAGATTTTCATCACATGAAAAAGCTGTGGACGCCTACAAAACGGCCATTTTGGAGACCCCAACTTCCGAATGGAATGGTTGCTTCAATGATTGGTTCCATCGTATGGAAAAATGTGTCAAATTTCGCGGAGAATACTTCGAAAAGCAATAAATACATTTATAAATAGTAATGTTGTGTCACTTTCTTGATTCCCGAAATTTTCAGTGCCGCCCTCGTAGTTGCTAAAAATCGTTATTGTAGCTCTAACCGGTTTTATAAAAACAATAATAATTGAGTCAAGATTCTGGAACACAGAAGGAAAAAAGAAAAGTTGGTACGACTTTCCATTGACGTCCGTCGAGTTGGGGGTGGATATTTTTTTTACAGAAATGTTACATTATTATAAGCACACACAAAGTTTCAACATTCGGAGACACATACTTTTTGAGAAAAAATATTGAAAATCAACTATTTTTGCAATATTTATGTTAATTGCTACCGTAAAACTGACGCCATTTTGTATTGTCGTTGTCAGTAGGGATGTCGATTCTTTCCGAAAAAGTTCGATTTTTTTAAATCGATTCGAATTGTAAGCTGATGTGTCGATTCACAAAAAACCGATTTCTAAATATCTATATTATTTTATGTTTGCATTTATAATGTAAATATAAATTCACTTTATGAGAAAAAAATCCCCTTCATCATAAAAAAATAGAGGGACTGATTCAGAAGGATTTCTGTATCTATTTTGAGACTGCTACGTCTCCGGCGCTGCGGGAAGAGCAGGCTCCACGCCTTTGCGTAACAAATCTTGGCTTCGGCTTGTTGGTCGCCTTCGGCGACCAGCCTCAGCCGCTACGGCTCGTCCGATGCCTGCGATTTGTTACAGCAGGCGGAGACTGCTCCCCCTACGTGCCTCCGGCTCTATAAAACCACTCTAGGGGTAGGACAGACTCGTACCAGGTGGAGTCGGGGTCAATCAATTCGGTTCCTTGACATAAATTGAACCTAACCTATTTTATTTGTTATCTGCCCTAATAGGTAGGTACTGTTAAAACAAAACAAATTCAAAAGATCATTTATTATGGTATCCTTCTTGTTTTTCATAAAATGGATTTATATTTACATTATAAATGCAAACATGAAAGAATATAGACATTTTAGAAATCGATTTTTTGTGAATCGAAAGCTTACGATTCGAATCGAATTAAAAAAAACGATCTTTTTCGGAAAGAATCGACATCACTACTGACGATGACAATGACAATACAAAATAGCGTCAGTTTTACGGTAGGAATTAACATAAATATTGCAAAAATAATTGATTTTATTAATAATTTTTTTTTAATCATGAAGGGGATTTTTTTCTCATAAAGTGGATTTATATTTACATTATAAATGCAAACATAAAATAATATAGATATTTAGGAATCGATTTTTTGTGAATCGATACATCAGCTTACAAGTCGATTCGGTTTAAAAAAATCTAACTATTTCGGAAATAATCGTACATCCCTACTGCCGACTATACAAAATGGCGTCAGTCTTACGGTAGCAATTGACATAAATATTGCAAAAATAGTTGATTTTCAATTTTTTTTTTCAAAAAGTATGTGTCTCCGAATGTTGAAACTTTGCCTGTGTGCTTATAATAATGTATCCTTTCTGTAAAAAAAAATATCAACTTCCAACACGACGGACGTCAATGGGAAGCTAAGCCGAAAAAAACAGTATTTACTACCATTACACACGGTTTAATGGTACTTTTTTAACTTTAAAAAACACTTATTGTTGCTTAATTGTCACTGGATCTCGGTCTAGTAAAATAGGACCTCGACAACAGGATATTGTTGGGGAAGATTCTGGCTAGAAAAGTGCTGAAAAGCAATATAAATATTATGTTTGAAGTACAAAAAGACATTGTATAATTGTAATGGTAGTCATGTAGAGCAGGAGTATGTATGTATTAGCTTAGCTTAAATAATTTTGAAGTGCGAGATTTTCTTTGACTCATTTTCATTTACAGTGTACCCTGCGTTTCATAGTATAATACTCACAAGTCAAGTAACAAGCAATATGTTTGATTAATTCTGACATAGGAGACCTTTTTTGTTATAGGATAAGGGTGACAAACGAGCACACAGTCCACCTGATGGTAAGTGGTTTCTGCGGCCCATAGACATCTACATCTATCCTCTGTTACAAATCAAAATGTAGATGCGTTGTCACCCGTGAGGACTAAGATGGAATGCCTCATTTCCAGTAAAAAGGGCCTCCGGCCACCTGCACTCACCAAGCGAAACGCAGAGGTAAACCTCTACTTCACGCTGGTTTTCTGTGAGGTTGTGGTACTACCCCGGTCCGAGCCGGCCCATCCGTGCGACAGCAAAAGCTGCCGCGTGGCTCTACCATTGTTAAATTTTTTTATTGAATACTAGGCATTGCATCTGCATTTTCATTCTTGATCGAGGATAGATGTAGATGTCTATTTGCCACAGCATTCACTTGCCATCAGGTGGGCTGTGTGCTTGCTTGACACCCTTATTCTATAAAAAAAGTGTTTTTTTTTTCTTTTGTTATTATCTGAGGCTAATAAATATCTATGAGTTCAGTACTGCATTTAAAAAAAAAAGGTTGCTTTCTTGTTTGCAGAGCCGTTTATTGTGTCCAATCTTATTATATCTTAAAAATATTACATCGGATATCTAAATGTTAAAAAGAGTGCAAGTGAACATTTTCCGAATTCACACGTGATCGCATTAAAAGTCATGGAATTTAATCATCATCATCATTATCATGATTACAGACCTTCAACAAAGTCAACTGCTAAAAATTTATCTATGATTTTAATCAAAATTTGCTTAAATTTAATTAGAATACAATTTTGTTACAAAAAACTGACATCCAACATTTGTTTTATTTAGTGAATCTCAAAGAATATTGTCAATATATAAAATTGTTATTTAATTTATTTAATATGACACAACAACTAATTACTTCTATTACGTTACAGAATTCGCATCCTGCACCAGAGAAATTCCAAGAGCTTCTAGAACAAAATCCACATGTGTTTTATCCTTCGAGAACAGCTAAGTCACTAATGGCCCACTGGCAACTTCTCAAACAATATCAGCTGCTGCCAGATCAAACAGTTCAGCCTTTACCAAAAAGTAAGTTAATATCATAATGTGTTTTTATTTCCATATAAATATTACTATCCTTTTGCACTGCTGGATATAAGCTTGCAGAGATGCAAATATACACCAAATCTTTCATACAATGGAGGTGGAACCTAAGTCCAGCAGCAGTATATAGCAGCATGATTTCAATTAAGTGCTGATACTGATAATGTAGAAGCAATAGAAGGATCTGTTAAATGACACATTTCCGTGAATTTCGTTATAAATTGTTTCTCTTCCATGCGAAAAAATAAAAATACAAATATTTAATTTATTTTAAGGTAAAGAACCTGTTGATTGGGTTTGATAACATGTCAGTCAGCCTTTTAAATCTTGTGTCAAAAAGAAAGAGTAACTGTGTCTTTTTACCTGTCTGTTCTTTTTAATATTTCGTGCTGATTAAGTTTTATAACTTTTTAAATTTACTTTCTGTACCAAATAAAATAAATCATTGCATTATTAGTATCTAACTATTTCATAAAGATTTTGACGTCATGACCAAAGATGGTCTGCTGTTTTTACACGATTTGCCAACTAAGTTATGCAAAGAAAAAATTTTATAATAATATAATAAAAAAAATTTAATAGGGTTAGATTTGGTTCTATTATTATTATTTTATGCATTTTATTTAATTATTTATTATAGACAATGAGGGCATCCATGACTTTTTCTGCCACCAGGGCGGCGCCACTTAAAAATATGGTGTTAATATTTGACAGATTTCATAGCTGGGAAGTTAATTTGTTCGAAAAATGTTTCTTTCCATACTATTAGTTATATTTTATATAATGACCGACCGAAGATTCGGTTTCGGCAAAAAAATGTAGTTTCGGTAATAGTTTCGGTTTCGGCAAAAAAATCTGTCGAACCTTTGGCGGCGCCGAAACTCAGTGTTCGTGGATTATCGTGCGTCGTTCGGATCAGTTCGTGACTCGTGTATTATTCATAACTATACAGAAACAGAAACTTTTTTATTCAATATAGATTATAAATAATAGTTATTAAATTTCACTCTTTTGTTTAATTACCACTGGTACGAAAAAAAGCCTCTGTCCTCGGAAGAACCAGCAAGAAACCCAGCGGGACTTTTTTTTTTAAATAACAGCTAACAATTAGAGGCATAGCGTGGACTAATATAGACGTGGGCGAAGTTGCATCAGCGAGATCCCTTTTCTTTCATTCCAAGGATCTATCCTACCAAACATGCTTTGACAGGACATATATGTCCTGTCAAGGCATATTGTCACTGTCACGTATGTCAGGGATTAATAAATATGAGTAGGTACTCATATTTATTAATTCCTGACAAGTCTCTTATTCCGTCAATGTAACAATCGCGGTCTTTGAAGGCAATTACAACAGCCTCGCAGTCGCACTAAGAGGGAGGGGCTTCTTGTGAGGCCCAAAAAAAACACACTTAAATTTGTGACTCTCTTTTTCGAGCGTATAAGTGATCAAATTAATTAGTCATGTGTCGTAAAGTCTGAAGGCATTTCAGGGGGCCTCGCAAGGCCCCTTTAAGTGCGAGGCCGTAGGCGAGGGCTCACTTCGCCTACGCCTATCTACATCACTGCTTACAATCATGTATGTAACATAATTAACAACACAAAACAAATTAGAAATAGCTTGGTAGTGATCACCTCATTCCCAGCGGTTATTATCATCCATAAATTCCTTATTATATTATAATAACCCTTTTTATACAAACTTAGTTTATTAAAGTGTTTGAACTTTGAGCAGGTTTTGTATTTTTTTTCCGGGATATTGTTAAGTTGTATGTATATTGTAAGTTTGTGAGTGTGATATATTAAGTTATTGCTCTCATTGTATAATTATACAATATTATGAACACAATAAAATATGGTCTCAATTAGCGAGTAAAACTTTTTATGGACGTAAGTGTTGATTTTTTTTTACAAAATTGACTTAAAAATTAGTTCTTAACGTTAAATTGTTGATTTTTTGCTTTTAAAATAAATAAATATATTGCTACATGACTATTACAATTACTGTTTTTCATTAATATGCATTACCTATCTGCATATGTATAAAGAATATACCAGATTTCAGCATACAAAAAAAATTAACATGTCTGAATAAGTTTCGGTTTCGGCCGAAACTGACACACAGACCGAAGGTTCGTTTTCGGTTGAAAATCCTGTTTCGGTTGGACACTAATTTTATATTAACTAGATTAAAAATAAATAAACCAAACCACAGATATTCATAAAAGTAGAAAAAATAAAAAGTAATAAATGTGCAAAAAATTATAGAGGAAACCACTGAGGCATTGTTTTGTGTATTAATATAATACTCTAGAAACTGATAAACTTTATTTAAAACTAATTTTTCAATTAAATGACATTGTTTAACAAAAAAACTTTACCTCAGTGCCAACTAGCGACATCTGGAGAGCAGAAAATATGCATTTTTTTTGACAAATTAGAAGCATATATATTATATATATATATCATATATATATATATATATAATATATATTATATATTATAATATATAAGAATATATATATATATATAATATATATTATATATTATAATATATAAGAATATATATATATATATATATATATACGAGGGTGGATTGAAAAGTACTCGGCCTAACCAAGAAAATAAACAAATACTAAATCTTGAACTTGATGGTGATTATGTAGAAAAATATTTTTATTTTTCTACATAATCACCATCAAGTTCAATACACTTTTGCCACCTCCCCTTCCAAGCATTTAGACCGTTGAAAAAAAATGATTCTTCCTTAGAGTCAAAATATGCGTCTACAGCTGCTTTGACCTCGTCGTTTGTCGAAAATCTTTGACCTCCCAAGTGCTTTTTTAGGTTAGGGAACAGAAAGAAGTCTGTTGGTGCCAGATCAGGTGAATACGGCGGATGCGGTCACAGTTCAAAGCCACAGTTGTGAATTTCAGCCATTGACTGTACTGACGTGTGAACACGGGCGTTATCTTGATGAAACAGGACTTTTCTTCTGAGCATTCCTCGACGTTTTTCTTTTATTTCCTCTCGTAAACGACGTAGTAAGGTGCAGTAGTAATCAGAGTTTATATTCTGACTCCTTTCAAGATAATCAATCATAATCACACCTTTCGAGTCCCAGAATACTGAAGCCATCACCTTATTTGCCGACAAAATCGACTTAGCCTTTTTAGGGGGTGGTGAACCAGGTCTTCTCCACTGTTTTGATTGTTGTTTTGTTTCCGGTGTACAGTAATGAACCCATGTTTCGTCGATAGTAACAAAACGATTCAAAAAATCATCTGCATCGGCTTCAAATAACTGCAAACAGTCGCGTGAAATAGTCAATCGCGTCCTTTTTTGTTCAACTGAAAGCAGTCGCGGAACCCACCTCGCAGACACCTTGTGGAAACCCAACTCGTTGACAATGATGTTTTGAGTTCGTTCATAAGAGATGCCTATAATCTCGGCTATCTCTCTAATTTTTAATCTGCGGTCTCCCATTATTAAATCAAGTACTTTTTTAATATTTTCGTCAGTAGTTGACGTCGAAGGTCTTCCAGAGCGGGGTTCATCTTTCACACTCTCTCTACCACGCTTAAATTCTGCTATCCATTTTTTGACGGATGAATATGACAGAGCACAATCGCCTAATGTACTGACCATGTCATCATGAATGGCTTTTGATGATAGCCCCTTCTTATGGAGGTACTTAATGACGGCACGCTGCTCGATTTGCTCCATTCGCGGAAATTATGTCCGATTACTTTGTTAATAAATTTATAAAATCACAACTAATTATCGCACACGTTTCGAACTTCACACAATGGACTAGTCTGAACTGAACTAAATAATGTGGGTAGATTTGATTTTTAGAATTGAATGGATCTGTGTTAGGCCGAGTACTTTTCAATCCAACCTCGTATTATTTTTTTTTTTTTTATAGGAGAGGGGGCAAACGAGCATGCGGCTCACCTGATGGTAAGTGACTACCGCCGCCCATGAACAACCGCAACACCAGGGGAATTGCAGATGCGTTGCCGGCCTTTTAAAAAGGAGTAGGCTCTTTTCTTGAAGGTCCCTAAGTCGTATCGGTCCGGAAAAATCCCTGGTGGTAAACTATTCCACAAGGATGTTGTGCGAGGAAGAAAACATCTTCTAAATCGCACAGTGGTGGACCGCCAATCATCCAGATGGTGTGGATGGTATCGGGAGTTCTGCCGCGATGTGCGTTCGTGAAATTTGGCGGCTGGGATTAATCCGAACAATTCCTCAGAGCACTCCCCATGGTAGATGCGAAAGAAAATGCAAAGAGATGCAACATCTCTTCGCAGTGCCAATGAATCGAGCCGATCGGAAAGGGCTCGGTCGTCGACGATTCGAGCCGCTCTGCGCTGGATGCGGTCAAGTGGAAGGAGCTGGCACTGGGGAGCCCCTGCCCAGAGATGGGAACAGTATTCCATGTGAGGCCGAACCTGCGCCTTGTAAAGTTGCAGGCGGTGTGCCGGCATGAAATACTGTCCCGCTCTGCTGAGCACGCCAACCTTTTTAGAGGCCAATTTGGCCTTCTCTTCCAAGTGACCACGAAACTGCACGTCACTCGATATGTCGACTCCGAGGATACCGATACTGGCTGAGGCAAGAAGGGGAGTGCCTTGAAACTGAGGAGATACGACAAAGGGGTTCTTTTTAGCGGTAAACGCGCAAACTTGTGTCTTCTGAGGATTAAACTGGACTAGATTTAGTCGCCCCCAATCCGAGACTTTGTCCAGCAAAGACTCGACTTCAGACACAAGTTTGTTCCAGTACTCGGCGACGTTTTCCCGAGAAATATTGGCCCGGCCGGTGTATAGAGCATCACCAGTGCTGTCATCCGCATAGCAATGAATGTTACCAGTTAGCAACATATCATTGATATGCAGAAGAAACAGCGTTGGTGATAGCACACAGCCTTGTGGAACACCAGCGTTAATAGGCTTGTAGTCAGAACATGCACTGTCTAC